GGTCCAGCTATGAACACATCTTCCCGTGAGTCACTCAGGATGTTTGCTTCAGTCAGTGATATTACTTGTGTGCATGTGCAACATTAAATCAGCTCAAGTGTTGGACAGAAAGTTGATGTTGTGTGAATGTGCAAAACTCCAGATTATGTCAGTCTTAATATATTACAGTGAATTATTCCTGACATGTTTTATGTTCAGGGAAGCTGCTCTCATGTCGTATTGTAAAATGTTTGTCTGAGAATGTGTGTAAATTCCAGATTGTTGTTGTGACGTTGCTGAGCAAACATCCACCACTTACACTCCTCAGTTGTGTGTTTGTGATGGCAGTCAGAGTGTGAAGTACAGCGAAAAGAGCATGGAGGAGGCTCTGAAGAAAGTTAAAGGGATGGAGGCTGATCTCGGAGGAACAGAGATTCTTGAACCCCTCAAACACATTTACAGCCAGCGCTGCATTCCCACGCATCCCAGACAGGTAGTAGACATACACACAATGACCTCATCCTTTCGGTCGCTTCTCAGAGCTGCTGATCATAGATGAGGGGAATGTAGATCAGCTTCTTAAAGAGAGCTCTGCCTTCAGATGGAGCTCCTGTCTCCCTGCCTGCTGATACAGAACCAGTGTGCCTTTCAGTCTGAGGGTTGGGTTGGGAGCTCCTCACCTTTTTCTGGAATGTGCTATNTTAGATGTTGAGTCTTTGACAGAAAAAAACTTGAGCATGACTTTAAGTGACCTACATGTTTAGAATATGTCAACATTTAAATAGTTTAATAATGCTGCAGAATAATGACTTGTACACTTAAACAGGAAGTAGTTTTGCATGCTGTTAAATGGAAGAAATGTAAAACACAATGAATGCCACAATATGACAGGAATATAGAAATTTGTGTAAAACTCAAGCTGTCCTTACTCAAACTGCACCGTACAGCTCCGCCCGCCCGGTGTTCCTTGACAAACAAATCGAGCGCACCAAGGAGGCGTGACTTCACGTGTGTGTCTGGAAAAAAATGCTTCCTGCTTTACCAGCAGGACTGTCACACTTCCTGGACTATCTGCAGTGAAGCTGTCCTGTGTTCGTGAACGTCTGTCTCCAGAGGTAAGTTTCTTCTGTGATGAATTTGTTAAAACGCTCCCAGATGAGGCTCCAGTTAACATGGGCCTGATGAGGAAACATGAGAACAGCTGCAGAGTGCTGCTGTCACACTGAGTCTGAATATTGTGCTGCACTGTGCTGATGTGTCTGCTGATAAGAGACTATTTCTGTGCTGCGTAGTTTTTTAACAAGTCGTCTATTACAAAATGCAACTACAAAAGAGCATTAAAGAAAATCTGTTGAGAGATGAGATGTGTAGATGAGCTGGAAAGAAGCTGATCATGGCTTAAGTTTGTCATATTAACTGGAATA